TGTCCAACCTAGTCTCGTACGGATAGCTGCCGGCCCTCCTGGTGGACCCAACCTCACTGGCTCGATGGGGGTAATCCGCTCCTATCAATACAAGTGGCTTGGCATGCTTGAATGCTTTGATAGGGAGGCCTGCCAGATTCTTATATTTCTTCTTCAACATGGAGATGGGATATGAGTGATCCGCCAAGCTGTGTGAACGCCTCTGTAATCCGAAAGCTTCTTCTGGGATGTGCAAGGAATGAGATGCAGAATGAGACGGATGATCCCTTCAACGTTTGGACATCCTGCCATATTGTGCGAAGGACAAGATCCTCTTGTCTGCCTTGCAATCCAAGTCGGTCAACAGCTTCTGGGAGGAGCATAGTGCGTTCCGATCCATCGTCCAATACTGCGTAGGTGTCAAGAGTACGATCCTTATTCCGAAGAAGCACTCTCACAACCTTTAATAAAACACGACTTGAAGCTGATGGTCCAGGTAAAGGACCTCACTACTAGTCTTCACCAGACAACTCTCTTCTTTGGGTGGCTCTGCAGCTGGACGGGTGTTCACATTATGGAAGACTCTCAAGTGCTTTCCTTGAAACAGGTCACAGAGTCTTTTGAGGTCACATTGTGTTGCTTGGTGGGACCTCCCACATCTCCAGCATCTCTTATTCACCTTGATCCACTCTATAACTTCCTCCCTTGTGAGCTTCTGTATGGCTGTGCACTTATTCAGAAAGTGTCCTGAACTCTCGCAATATGGGCAGTATGGCTTTATCTTGCTTTGCCTTTTGGACTCTGAGGGGCTCTGACCCTCTCACTTCACAGCCTTACTTTCTGCAGCGCTCTCTGCCCCATGTAGCACTGTAGCCACTGGTCTACTGATTCGCATCTCAGCTTTGTGGCTCAAAGACCCTAGGACTCGGGTGTTGGATGGGATGTCGTAACCCTGACACCACGACTCATACTGGGGCCACTCTGCCAAGTCAAGCAGTGTATGTGTAGAGCCAGGTCGCTGATACATCTGGCGGCGTAAATTTGCCCTCAACTCCGGCGGAAGTTTCGTGAGCAGCCGTGCAACATGCGAGCCGCATCTTAGCTCAGCTTCTCCATCCGGGCCTAGGGTTTTCAACATGCCCACTAGTGACTGAACATGCAAAGCAAACCTCTCAAAGGCTGCTGTATCTCCTCGCCTTATCTCTGGTGAGTCCATGACAGCAGCAATCTTCTTTAAGGCGATGTGATGTGGCTGCTCAAACTTCTCATTCAATGCGACCATTGTATCGGAGTATGGCATTGGCGAATTAATGTATGAATCGGCTATAAGGACAGCCTCCTCCAACCTCAGATGGTCCACAAGAACCTGATATTTGAAAAGCTCACTGGCATCCCTTGGCAACAGATTCGTTAGGGCCAGCTTCAGTCTGGAGAATTCCATGGGGTCCCTATGGATGAAGAGGGGGATTTTCGGTGTTGGCCCACGGTATTCCTTCTCTTCCATTGTAGCTAATGAGGGCTGATATGGTAATTCTCGGGAGGAGGTACGCTGACTCATGTGAGGCCCTGGTAAGCGTTTAAACGAAGGCCCAGATTCAACCCAGTCCATGCCAGTAGGACAGCTCGTGACTGGTGAGTAATACTGTGACCAATGAGTCGGAGTATCGTGAAGCTTCCTAACGAGTGGTCTCTTAGGGGTTGAAGACAGACGACTTTGAGTAGTTGAGCTGGCCACAGCACTCTCTCTCATTAGCTGGAGTTCATTCATCATTCTGTCTATGATGGTGACCATCTCTCTCTCCTCACCCTTTGCAGGCATTGACACTGGTTCAGTAGAGGGCCATGGTGGAGGTGGTAGCCAGTCATCATACTCATCTTCTTCCTTTCGTGTTGGAAAGCCATCCTTTATAGGAGGGGGTGGTACTGACCACGGTTCTTGTCTTGCTTTTTCCAGTGTCTTAATTGAGGCTGCAAGAGAATGAATTTCCCTCTCTACACCCCAAAGCTGTGCAGGGCTGCTCTGCATATTCTCTGTGGATCTGCGTGATAATGTGTCCTCTCTATACATCTCATACCGCTCATTCCTCCCCTCTGCATAGGGTGTAGGAGTATCTATCCACTCTGCGCGTAGCCCAGTTGAATGTGCATCGTAGCTAGGAGACAACTCTTCATTGTGCTCACTAATATCTGAATCCCACTGCACCTGACGAGGAAGCCTTGAGGTATGTGTACTTTCCACTGGCCTCATCATAGCTGCTCCCTCAAGGTGAGTGCTCCAGCCCTCTTGGCCATGCATATGCTGTAACAAACTTGTGCGAGGTAAGACTTGTGTCTGTTGTCTCAGTGGACCAACCTCATAGTCCTCAAGATATTGTGGCGGTCTCTTAGGTCGAGTTGATGGGACCTGGAATGCTTGACCGCTTTGTTGCATGTTCACGGAACAGCTACGAATCCGGCTCGAAGGACCAAATATAGCTGAGGGTGGTCAGGACTGTAAGGTGCTAGCTATTCCTAAGTAGGTGGAGTTGATCCGCGTGTGCCGGTTAGAACGCCAAAGCCGGAGAAGGAATCGAGTTCAACAGATTTATTGTTACAGACATATGCAGAGGGGGAGCCAGGTTATAGCAAAGTGCATTATCCAGTTCTCAGATTGTGCACATATTATAGATGAGCATTAATACTGATGCAGAGCAGTATCATCTTGAAACTTATGTCCTTTGACGGGTCAGCATACACTCATGTATGTGGGTGTGGTTTTCTCTCTGGATGCACACAAACTTAAACACTCAAAGGAACATAAAGATAATCGTATGATTGCCGTTTGTAACGGAATCGCATGGCTCATTCCCGCTGAGGACCAATGATGGCTAATGCAATACTAGATTGCGATTGCGCAGCGCTGTGAAGCACTCTGCAGAATGAAATGGCATTCCGCCAAAATAAAAGTCCCCGCGATAGAGAAAAGAGCGCTTCTGTGCATCTGCATTAATGAGCCGCTTGCATAATGACGATGTAAGTGTCGTTGCATTTTAATGTTTTTGTTAGCCTATCCAGTTGAAGCCACTAGATGTGGCGCTGCTGCGTTGTTCATTAAAAATATAGCGGAAAAAGAGAACATCAATGCAGAGAAGATCTTGTTTACATCAAAACCGAAACCAAGCCATTCACACAGAATGCATATTTCACACATTTTCTAGACGGACATTTATGACTGTTGCACTCACGTCTCGCACAAAAGAGCCGCATGTTTAGAAAGCCATGTAAAATTAATGCAAGTTTAACTTTGAAAAAAACATATATTGAGACTTCATGGCGGGTTTTTCCCCATCCCACTGCATCTCATGTTTTTAAAGGGGTCATATGATGCGATTTAATTTTTTCCTTTCTCTTTGGAGTGTTACAAGCTCTTGGTGCATAAAGAAGATCTGTAAATTTGCAAAGGCATTTTAAATTCGAATTTTGATCATATTTAAGTACAAAATTCAAATTGAGTTTTTCAGCCATTTTGACAGCCCTAAAAGCAATTGTTCGTTTTTAGTTTGTTTGAATTTACCCTCTTTTCCTCGCTTTCCTTCCCTTTTAAATAGCTTAAAACCGCTGTGCACATTTTACTTTTACTTTCGAATTAGCGGCAGTTCGGCGTCAATTGCTTGAATGCAACAACAAAATACAACTTCAAACTCACTTTAGCCTATATATAAAACATAGAACTTTTATTAACAAAACGAATAAAAATACACCATGCTATAGGGCAGGCTATGCCTAATATAAAACAAATAACTTACATAAAGTTCAAATAGGTATACAAAACTGGAACTTAGTAAACATGCATAATATATAACCAAATAAATAAGAAACCTAGAACGTTTATTAGCAAAACGAATAAGAAAGCTTGGAGGCATGACATACACCTTGATGTTAAATAAAATAAATAAATTACACAAAGTTTAAATAAAGTAAAAATCAGCAAACACTGTGGAACCAATTAAATAAGAAACAAATGTTAAAAACAAAACAAAATCACCTTAGATAAACAGCAAAAGTCAACAAGCTTTCAAAATACTGCCAAACAGGCGCTTTTGCATTTAGTTTCGAAACTAAATCATCCGCCATTGTCTTGTCTGTCTCACCCCACTCTTCTTGTCAGTCAGCTCGACTCACTCTCCTCACTGGATAAATGAAATCTGATCTGTGATGCGACTGTCATTCGGCACGCTGCACTGAGCATCCGCATTCAGTTTTTAATTGTAGTGTCTGTTCTTTTACTGAACTAAATTATTTTTATTACTATAAAAAATCTAAACGACGTTGGGGTTCGGTGACGCGGGGGGAAAGTGACTTAACCGGTGTTGCGGCTTAGCAACGGTATCACCGTCAGCACCGTCTATCGCGGCAAGCCTGCCTCTGATGTCTCAGATATTGATCCTGTTACCCCGAATCACCTTCTCATGGGGCGGCTTGACGGCTCTCTCCCACAGGTTGTATATCCTCAAAGTGAAATGATCAGTCGGAAACGATGGCGCCACAGTCAGATCCTCACAGACTTAGTACTTGATGAACACAGACCAGAATATCTACCCAATCTGCAGACTCGATCTAAATGGCAGAAGGATGTCGAGGACATTGCCATTGGAAACATTGTTATGCTGGTAGACCCACAATGGCCTAGAGCTATGTGGTTGATGGGAAAGGTCACCAACGTCATGCCAAGTGCAGACGGGCATATCAGAACTGTAGAAGTGCTAATCAAGTGACGGACCTACAGTATATCAGACCAGTTTCAAGGATGATTGTACTTCTTGCCATTCCTGATGATGTAGATACCTCATAATTGCGGGCCATTTACCAGGGACAAATTTAGTGCCTAAATTTGGGGGTGGCTGTACAAAAGGCCCTCAATGAATCAAGTATGTCTATAGTTAATTTGCAAGCATTCCCTATTCTGTCCAGTGCGTGGCAGCATACCCTCACTTAAGTTCATTGCAAGTATTGCATCAGCCGTAGGATTGCGTTGAGGAAATTGCCAGAAGCTCCGGTCAGGTGTGGACTGTTAGCACTTGGTTTCTGCAAAATTTCACCTGTTCTGATGATTCCTGAGTGGTTTTAGTTGGTGTGCGTCAATGACGAAATGTAATTGCACTGGTTATTATTAATGTCACTTTGAGATTGTTTCTAGTCACTGATTAATGTTGTGATATGTGACGATTCATCTTAATGCTAAGCTAATCATGACTGGTGGTGAAAGACGTCATTTGTACAAAGTTTGTCTAGCGTTAATCATTCACGGGGACTATTCATACTGTAATCATTAGCAATCTGTGGCTGCAGTCGATTACTTTATAAAGAGAATTTCTGTCCTATTGCTAATAGGCATGGGACGATAACCGGTTTAAAGGTATACCGCGGTTTGGAAAAATCACGGTTTCAAAACCACTAAAATCTTCCCTTATACTGTTCCTGCGATATGCACAGTTTTTTTTACGTGTCATGAAAGACGGAAAGTGCAGGACTCCCTCGGTTGTGTGCAGCGAAGAGCGTAACGAGTCACACGACCCCTCCCCCTCTGGTTGGTGCGAGGCTGCGAGCAATCAGTGAGAGTCACCTGTGTAGGATGGCCGAAGGAGGTGAATCCCTGGAACTTTTTCCCCCGTCGAAAAAGATGAAGTCTGCCGTATGGGAATTTTTTGGGTAACGTAGACTAACCATGTTCCGTACACAATGACGTTCCGTACAGATGACGTTTTAGCGCCGATCGCTAAAGAAATACTTCCAGGTTGTACAAAAACTACATATCTGTGTCATCTTCATTTCTCCCTCTTTCACCCCCGATCAAAACAGAGACCCCCCCGCCGTTTGTTTCAGTGTGGAAATAAATAATATTTGGCTTGCTACCGAGGCAGATAACATGGCTAATTAGCTAATGTCAACTAGTTTGCTCCCTCACGTTAACGTTACTTCACAGAGCGAGGAATAAAGTACTACGTTTCTGCGATTTAGTACAATATTTAAATTTAGCTGGTATCACGTCTATACTTTTAAGCCTCCTGTCATTGATTACATCTGTTCAAAATCACGACATGTAAACTACAAACAAACTGCTGCCTCTCAGGTGTCTTTGCCACTGTGTGTTGTACGGAGAAAGACTGTGTGTATGTGTGTGCTCTCTCTTTCCTTATGTGTATGTGCACACATCCTCGTACCTCACAGCTCCAAATTTAATCCAGGAAAGGTGAACATTCCTGGATCATAACTTGGACTGAAAGAGGAATGTGTAGAACGTGAGCATGTCTCCAAAAACCTTGTTGAGCTGTAGGTTTAATGAATGAATTTTTAATTTGAAATAATTTATGTTCTGATTATTGTTGAGCTGCAGGTTTAGGCCCACTTCATTTAATTACGAAGATTTCAATTTTTTTTATTATTTAGCCTGTCATGTTTATAGAGTGTTCCAAAATGTTCTGTTTCTTAAAAATGTATTGTGTTCAGTGGAAAAACAAATAGTTGTTTTTTACCCATGACATTTAGTTATAAGGTTATCATACCGTCAGAATCTCATACCGGCATGCCTAATTGCTAATATACTGTACAGTGGGGCAAAAAAGTATTTAGTCAGCCACCAATTGTGCAAGTTCTCCCACTTAAAAAGATGAGAGAGGACTGTAATTTTCATCATAGGTATACCTCAACTATGAGAGACAAAATGAGGGCTCTCTCATCTTTTTAAGTGGGAGAACTTGCACAATTGGTGGCTGACTAAATACTTTTTTTCCCCACTGTATATTATCCTAATATTCTAATATTGTTTGAATGTCTTAACGTGTGTGCATAATACTGTGCTATTTGGGATGATATTGCAGTTAGTAATTATTCCTTCTTTCTGTTCATTTTAGAACATCCATATATACCTAATTGCATATTGTGTAGTTTGGAACCACAGAAAGAAATCCCTGTATGCCATACCGTGCTGATTGCCGATTCTGAATCCTAATCATACAAGTAAACCTACATCAACCCAATACTGTTTTCCTGAATCGTGACTGATATCCTGTAGCGAATGCAACATATTACCAGCTAACTAGTCATCCCTATCTCTTCTGAACAAGCACTGAATACTTGTCGATAAAGCTAACTTGTGATTTAGCCTAAAGGGAGAGTATCTGCTCTCCCTCAGGCCTGAGGAAAACACATTCATCATCTGGCAGACTGGGATGTAAGCCTGAGTCATGGGCGCATCTATCAAAGCTTAGAGGTGAGAGATTAAAGAGGTGGCTGCCAAATTGCCTCATGGTCAAACAGAATGCCGAATCACAAAATGGCCCCCGGCAGCTAAAGAAGAAGAGATCACATATGTGTGCATGTAGGTTTGTTTAGGTTTGCCTGATTGTGTGGGGCATTGCAGGATCATTTGATATATGATATGACTTAGCATGAAGATACACAACTGTGAGGCCATTATATCCGCTATTACAGTACAAGCAAACAAGGATAGGAAATAGAAGATAATTAGGGTGAAAAATCAGACCATTTGTCCTTTTTTCGTTTCCAATACGTGGTGATGCATGGGTGCTGATTAACAGGCCATTCATTCCCGCAGTAACTCAGGTCAGCGTTATAGAGATATAGAAGTGTTGTGCCTAGTGGCAAGATCAAAAGTGAGACGCACAGAAAAGACAAACAAGAACAATCTCTCATCTTGTGAGCTTGCATGTTCATTAAATCAATCCTGAATGTCCTGAAGAACTAGTTGCTCATGGGAGTCTTTGATGAGGTTCTGCATATAACAAGAATCCATCAACAGAGCTGAAAGGAGATGTGGCCAAACAGAGATGGCGAGGATGATAAAAAAACTGGCTATCCTCAAATATCAAAGGCAGAACACAGTAAATAAAGAGCGAAATCCTTTTACTTCCTTTTAAGGATTCAGTCCATCCACATGATTTCATAACTGAACTAAATGATTGGAATTAAAAGTGGTGCTTGTAATGGCATTAGTACTAAGAATAATAATAATATTATATATTAAATATATTATTAAATAAATATTTAAAAATATTAAAAAAGCATGTGAAAATGTATAATACAAAAGGTATGTATTGGATTTGGTTGGTGTTCTGCGTGGATAATATGTTTCCAAAAAGCAAGTTTTACACAGGCAAACTCCACTCTCATTTCATATTACAAAAACTGATCAATATCATTACTAATTGATTAATTTTATATAAATAAAAAAAAATCCTTTTGCAGCCAAGAATTGCACCTTTCCCAGCTCCTGAGAAATGCTAGATATGAAAGGCATATTAAAGAAGCAAAGACAATTTGATGTCAATAGGCTAGTGTTGTCAAAAGACCCGGTACTTCGGTGTCAAGTCGGTACAAAAAAAATGAAAACGTTACGGTACCAGGTTTTTTAAAATACCGGTGGTACCGAGTACCCGTCCCAGTCAACCCGGTTCTTGATGCGTTATCCGAAAGGGGCGCAGATGTGCTCTCTTCATAAAAGCACTGAGACATGGTGACCTCAACATGAGTAAACACATCAAACTAACAAAACACTTTAAAGACAGACACCCGGGTCAAATGAAAGAGTTCATGCAGGTAAGTTTAATTTCATCCCATACATTGATTTATTTGTGGCTACCCGCCACGATATCAAAACTCACCGTCACAAATAGATTTTCCAAAAGGCTTTGACTTCGTTGAATAAACATGAGCACTGCACGTGTCAAAGTTGAAACCCGGTGCGGGTGTTTTTATATCATTGTATTTCTGAAGGAAACCGACTGTCTTCAGAAAATTATGGATGTCATTTTCATTTCATCTGGCCTGTAATGCCTGAGCAGCATTTGTGAGCTGAGCGCTGCTTTGTGTACAGCGGTTACTGGGGAAACCTCTATCTCTCCCGCTCTACAAGCGCCTCCTGCTGGCAGAGAATGAATTTGCATATATATGCCACCACAAATAGAGTGCAAGTCTGTGGGAAACACCGCTTATGTTATGAATATTATTCAATATTTTAATTTGAATGTAGGATTGAAAAGAACATCGCTGTTATTAGAGTAGTTAATCGTTAGCATAAGCGAGGCTAACGCTAATATAATGAGCATTAGAATGAAGTTTCTTTATTAACTATTTACTGCTCCTATAACTTTTATTATGGTAAAAAAACAGGAGGACATGATGATATTTACTATTTTTTTACACACCAGAGGCTTTTAAATGAATTGTGAATCTAAAATACGCGTGTTAGAGAATGTACAAATGGTTAACATGGTTTGTGTCATATCAGTCAGAAAAGCAGTTCTGGGGTTTTTATTTATTTTATTTTTTTAAGCTAACTTAGTTGTTATTCTTGGCTGAATAATTAAAAGCCCTTTAAAATTAAATATGTACACAGTTTGGATTAAATGAAAGTATAGTCAACTGAAATTTTGGTACCGTGACAACACTACAATAGGCGTTGAATGCTTTCATTCCACGGTTTAATTAATAGCAAAAAAGCATTAAAAAATTCTGATCACAGCCCATTTAGTTAAGGTTGAATTACCAAGGCCTTCAAGAGACACACAAATTACTTATTTGTCAGCCTAAAAAGGTCTCATCCAACATGCAATTATTAATTCAAAAAGCTATTTTCAATTTGTAATGTTAATGTGTACAACTCAAATCAGATGTTTTCACCATATACACAACAAAAAGGGCATTTCACATTAGAGTCTACATACAAATGATTGAATCCTCAAATTTATTCTCCTATGTTAAAAGCAAAAATTCCATTTTAGATTGACAGAATTTCTCTTTAAAAGTAAAAATGTATGAGCGAGTAAAAGGATTGCACCATGAAGCCAAACACAATGTTGAAGCCGCATTTGCAGATTGCATAATCAAACATGCTGCACTTTTTCACTCTGCAGGAGTCACAACCGACAGTTATTATTTTCTCCATGTTGCAGAGAGGATGTGATGTACAACACTAATGTTTGACAGCCTCTGTCTCTGGATTAACACAAATAGTCTGTCAGCTGTGGTAACTCAAGATTGGCCTGTTATCTCGAATCTAAACTGCGCAAAGCTCTGCCAATTCCCCGGTGAAGGCCTCAGGGCTAACAATGCACATGCCCCGTATAATCATCTCCAACATGCGCTTTACTGATAACATTCATACCAGCTTATGTTCAAGGGCAGACTGACAGAACATCTCTTGTCGTGCCCATAAACAAAGACTCATCAGCGAACAAGCGTGTACATGTAGTAGACACGAATCTACATGCATTCTGGACAATATTGAGACTTGAGCAAACAGTGCGGTTGTTGGGAACCGAGAACCTGTTCAGTTTTAAAAAAGAATCCGAAAGACGTTCGATTCCATTAACGGTTCTCGCAAGTGCATTTTACCACCAATGGGAGGAGACCCGGTGCTTAAAATACAGTGTTTCCCTCACTACTATTCAGCGATGTCTCAACTATACAGTACGAAATAAGAAGATAAAAGATTAGCTCTTATGTGTCGGTTCTTTTCAAGTCCATTCAGCGCGACAAGTGTAGTCGGATTCCCGGCCGAATTACTCTTATTATGAGCTGGTTCTTTTTAGTGAATCAAATCCATAAAGCGCGATGGATGTACTACGATTCCAGACCAAATGAGTCTTATGAGCTGGTTCTTTTTAGTGAATAATCTTGCGCGATGAATGTAGTACGATTCCAGACCGAATGACTCTTATTAACTGATTCTCTTAAGTGAATCAAGTCCATATAGCGCGATCAGTTTAGTTCGATTCCCGAACGAATGACTCTTATGAGCTGGTTATTTTTAGTGAATTAAATGGATTGTTCATCCAAAAATGAAATCGCTGTCATTAATTATTCACCCCCATGTCGTACCAAACCTTTGTTCATCTTTAGAACACAAATTATGATATTTTTTTGATGAAATCTGAGAGCTTTCTGATTCTGCATAAACAGCGATGCAACTACCACGTTCAAGGCCCAGAAAGGTAGCAAGATCATTGTTAAAATAGTCCATATGACATGAGGGTATGTAATTAATGACAGAATTTTCCTTTTTGGGTAAACTATCCCTTTAAATCCATACAACTTTTATTACAGCTGTATTCTTGCAATAATATTGTCATTCTTTTTTCACAATATTGCACTGATACTGTAGATCTTGTTTCAGTAAACCATCCATCCATCTATCCATCCATCAGTAATCCATTTTGTGACGTTTGTACTGGGTCAATACACAACAATTATTGTGCTGTGGAAGCTATATGAATGCTTTAAAATAAAATAAAATTTAATAAAATAAAATTTAATTAAATTAAAGTGAGGAGACAAAATCAAAGAATATTTATTTTAATTATAAGCCTAAATAAAGCCACATTTTTTTTTGTTTGTGTGTGTGTGTGTGTGTAGTTGAAGCAATATAAATGCTTATGAAATGAAAAAGATAGATAGATAGAGATAGATAGATAGATAGATAGATAGATAGATAGATAGATAGATAGATAGATAGATAGATAGATAGATAGATAGATAGATAGATAGATAGATAGATAGATAGATTAATTGGCTATTATTGTGCTGTGAAAACAATATGATGAAAGCGTAGAAAAATGGCTGTTACTTGTGGAGATGGGATCAAAGTTAATCTCTTACTGAACCTCAAGTCAACAATCACATGGCGAAATGCTGAATAATTTCCAGACTGAGATTCAATGACATTTAGATTTATCTGAGGAAAATACTCTCTGAATTGACTGAAGTAAGCTTTACTGGCTTCCTGCCTCTCTACTGGTTCCAAGTCCAAATGCCCTTTAACATAAACCCTTGAGTATCAACAATGCACTATTCAATAAAACACAAGGACAGACAGAACGGTTGAAGCTTCCAACTAAAAGTTTCCTCAGTGAAAATCAATGTCTTTTTAGGTTAGCGCTGGATGCCTATAAGCTCCTTAAGAAAGCATTCATCTTCATGCTCTTGATGTTGATGTTGACATTTAATCTCCA